GATACATCTGTCCGCACCTTGACTCATTATCTGCAGATGATATTGCTATTGCCTCGATCGACCGCCGCCGCAAGCCTGCTGCAGATGCATCCGAGGAGGAACTGCTTGCCTACGCTACCACCTCACTTGGGGAGTTCGTTCCCTGCGAGCTTGCCAACGGTACCCCCATCCTTGCTGTCCTCGACTTCAACCACTCGAAGGGCCCAATCATGGAGAAAATGCCATTCCACACCAAGGAAAGCGGTGACCCCAATGAAATGTTCCGGCTTGCTGGCTCCGGCGTCGGCTACATCGAGGAGTTGGACTCGAAGGCAGCAAAGAAGAGGACCCGGGCGCAGACGAAGGCAGCAAGGGAGAAGGTGAAGATGGAGAAGGAGAGGGTGAAGAAGGAGAAGGCAGAGGAGAAGGTGAAGAAGGGAAAGAAGTCGACGAAGGCGGTGAGCGGGAAGCGCAAGCGCGTTTCGGACGACGAGGAGGAGTCTGCTGAGTCTGAGGATTCGGAGGAGCTGGACGCCGAGCGACACGCAGATGTTGTACACTCATCTCGTGTTCATCGCTCCCATACCGCTGCTGCAGCTGCCGCTGCCACCACTTCTCCAGCCACTCCCTCCAACAACCTCGAGCCCGCTGCAGATGTCTCTGCTTCCCCACAGCCGCCTGTCCATGAACCAGAGCCGCCCATGGATGCATCTGCGCGACCGAAAAAGAAGCAGCGCTTCATCTCTGCCCCGGTCATCACCTCGGATGCTGAGGAGCGTGCAGAGGAGGAGCTCCCAGAGCCTCCGGTCCCTTCTCCACGGCCAAGACGTGCGTCTGCTGCTGCTGCCAAAGCGAAGCTCAGTACTGGTGCCAAGGCAAAGCCTGCCGCTGCCGCTGCAAACACTTCCCCTCCCCCCGCCAAGCTGGAACGCCCCAAGCCCAAGCCAAAGGTGAAGGCGACCCCAAGGACCAGCAAGTCCTCGAAGCAGCAAGGTGGAGGAGGTCGACCGGTGGTAGAGATCCATCAGCAAGACGGTCCTGAGTCAGAGGACGTTGATGATGTGGATCTGCCTGGGCCTGACAACGCCGAGCCCTTCAACCCCAAGCCGCCGCACCGGACGCCTGCAGAGGAGCGTGCTCAGATCGAGGAGCAGCGTGCTCAGAACGAGCACCTCAAGGTCACGACTGCACGTTTGAAGGCCGAAAGTGCACATCTGCGGAGGGAGTTGCAGATGCCCGATGATGGTGGTGACTACTACCAGACTGTGGCTCGTGCTCCTTCTGGTAGTGAGCGGGTTGGCTCCGTCTTTGATGTCCATCGAGGGGAACACATCGGATCGATCCACCATGGACCCAACCAGGGTCAGTGGCTCACTCCAGCATCACCACAGATGCATCGACATTCCCATCTGCGTCATCAAGACCGTCAACCTGAGGCTGGTCCTTCTCACCTCGCACCTCGACATCTGCCCCAGCCTGAGGCTGGACCCTCCCGACAAGCGTCTCGTCCTCCATCTGAGGCTGGGTCATCGAATTCCAGGTGGAATGCGTCTGCAGATGCATCCTACCGTGACCAATTCGACTACCCCCGCCCCTACGACAGCGACTACGATTCTCGTCGCCCTCAGTACGGTGGATACGATGGATATGGAGGTTATGGGGGATACGGGGGATATGGAGGTTATGATCGTGGGGGGTATGAGCGTGGGGGGTATGATCGGGGGTATGAGCGTGGGTATGAGCGTGGACCTGGTCGGGGATACGATCAGTATGAACGCGGGTATCCTCCTCGTGGATATCCCCTGCCGTCTGGCCCTCCGGGCTATAGGTCTGAGTACAGTCCATCCGAGGACTCCTTCCACCCAGCTCCACCGCAGATGCCTCCGCCGACGAGAGCATCTGCGGCACCGCATCATGCACCGCTGGCAGATGTCAGTCCAGAGGATGCTGATGGCGCCGCTCAGCTCATCAACCTTCTCAAGGGGATGACCCCGGAGCAGCGCAAGAGGCTCGAGGACCAGGGACTGTTCAAGTAGGGTGCATTTCGTTTTGATGTTGTATCTATGGACTGCTGCATGACATTTGTATATACATACCTACATTATCTTGATTCACATCTAGCCTTTACACACATTCTTCGATGTAATAGGTTCCTGTTGCTGCCTTTTCAATGGCTACTGTGTTGCCTTTGATTCTAGGATATGATTCAAAGAGCTGATAGTAAATGCTGGCATACAGATGCCACTGCGTACTGGGTTAGATGCTTGCAACAACATCCTAGACAGAGTGATAGCTTATGTATTGCATGTACATAATATATAATTAATCAAAATTTATCCCTGAAGAGTCCACACAAATCACGGAGATTGTCAAAAACACTATCCTATGGCAATGGGTAGGCAATACAAGCTTATATAATGTATGTACGCAATACAGATTCATTTGCAAATGATGGAGATTGTCAAAAACATTGTCCTATGCTGATAAGTAGGCAAAAAAGCTTATATATTGCATGTACATGACACAGAAACAATTGCAATATATTCCTGAACAGGCCATGCAAATGACGGAGATTGTCAAAAACATTGGCCCGTGCAGATGGGTAGGCAATACAGTGATTGCAATTGATGGCTTGACAGGCCTCTACAATGGCCGGGAGCTGCAGACCCATCTGGGAATAGTGGGGCCTGTTAGGCCCCGATTTTGACCACTTCCGAGGGCCTTAGAGGGGGGGGTGTCATCTGTGACAGATGCACCTGAGGTGACCTTTGGAGACCAAATACGACCAGGGACGACCCTGCGGCAGACCACGTTGCCCTTCCAGCCAGCACACCACGCCATACGCCCACTCTCACCGCCATATTCGACGGGACCGTACCCCGGATCACAGCCCAGATCATGGGACGACCAAGTCAGCGAACAAGGAACCGGCAACCCTCTTTTCCCGCGGGCAACCCCGCCGAACAAAGAATGAATCACAACAGGGGAACGGACTTTTGGCAGGGCAAAACCGTCAGCGTGTGGCAACAAAACATCAATAAGTCCCTCCACGCGCAACTAGATATGCTGAACTCCCTACAGCCATCGCGCTACAACCTAGCGTTGATCCAAGAACCCCACATCGACTTCAGGGGCGTTTCCAGAACAAACTACCACTTCACGACGGTATACCCCACCACGCACGACTCGGATCCCAAAGCAACCCGATCCCTCATTCTAGTCGGCACGTCGATTCCCTCAGCCAAGTGGACACAAATCAAAATCGACTCTCCCGACATCACCGCCATAGAAGTACGAACCGACCAACACACAATACGCATCATGAACATCTACAACGACTGCAAACACAACCGCAGCTTGGAGGCTCTGGCGACGTACATCACGGACCCACAGAGCCAACCCACCCCGGGAAAGGAGCTATCGTACATATGGGGGGGAGACTTCAACCGGCACCACCCAATCTGGGACGAAGAACGGAATCACCACCTTTTCACGAACCGCAACCTCCAACTCGCACTGAAACTATTACAGATGTTAGGGCGGCACAAGATGGCGATGGTACTGCCAAAGGACATACCCACACTCAAAGCGCACGCGACGGGGAACTACACCCGCACGGACAACGTATTCTGCTCTGAATCCATCACGGGGAACTTCATCACATGCGGGACGGCCCCCGCGCTACGCCCCGCAAAAACAGATCACATCCCGATCTTATTCTCTCTACACTTGGACATTGGAAACAGAACCTTCACACCGCGACCGAACTGGAGGGCAACGGACTGGCAGGAATTCAGGAAGACACTGGGGGCCGAACTCGAACGGCGCCCACAGAACGCGATAAGAACAACGGTTGACATCGAAACAGAGATCAGGAAGATAGACGAAGCTGTGGCAGTCGCAGTGGAGGCACACGTACCAATGTCTAAGCCCTCCCCCTACTCCAAGCGATGGTGGACCCCCAGCCTATCAGACCAACGCGCACAGCTCCGCAAAGCACAGAACCGCGCATATGCCAGGCGCCACGTGCCGGACCACCCAGACCACGAGCGCGCACGACAGCTACGAAACGCCTTCTCAAGGGCTATAGCAAGCGCAAAGAAGACTCACTGGGAGAAATGGCTCGATGGCTTAACGGAGACAGACATATGGAACGCGCAAAGGCTGGCAGAAGGACCACCCACGGACGGAGGCAGGGTGCGTATCCCAGACATACAGTTCAGAACGCAATCTGACGGACCAACGCGAACGGCAACAACCAATCCCGACAAAGCCAAAGCGTTCCACCGGGAATTCTTCCCGCCCACAACCCGCCAAGCCGCAAACGGAACTCCCCAACAATATCCACCGCCGGCGTACGCGTGGAAGCCCCTCTCCGATTCCATAATACACCGAACAATCGCAAAGCTCAAACCATACAAGGCCCGACAGCCGGGATCGATACCAAATTGCGTATACAAATACAATGCACACGTACTTGTACCCCGCCTGGGCCCAATATTCAGAGCCGGCGACGAACTCAATTACTACCCAAAGGAATGGAACCACACGCATTCCATCGTGCTACGCAAACCAGGGCGAACCGACTACACCAACCCAGCGAGCTACCGACCAATAGTGCTATCCAAGGGGCACCCAGGACTGGAGAACGCGGCACGCACAATGCAGATCACGATGGAAGCAGAGAAGGTCGGCATTCTCCCCGTGACCCAATACGGAGCGAGACCGGGTCGCGCCACAACGGACGCAATACACATGGTGATCAAGACAGTGATGGACGCGTGGAGAAGCAAGGAGGTAGCCAGCGTCTTATGCATGGACGTAAAGGGTGCGTTCCCAAGTGTGGATCTGAACACGCTCATACACGACATGCGAATGGCGGGTATCCCTGAGGAGCATACCAAATGGATGGCACGGCGCTACGAAGGGCGCAAAACCCTGATAGCTTTCGACGACTACACATCAGAACTCATAGACGTTCAAGGAGGGCTAGACCAAGGCGACCCTCACTCCGGAATATCCTACATGATATACAACGCACAGCTGGCTAAGATCCCACGACCAACCCACGGCGAACACGGCGTAACATTCGTAGACGACGTGACAATCATCACAACTGGCAGCTCCTTTCGGGAAACCCACAACAAACTGAGAACAATCATAACCGGCAGTGGAGGCATAGACGACTGGGCGGCCGACCACAACGCAATCTTTGGACCCGCTAAGTACCAGCTGTTAGACGCATCACGAAGACTAACACCGGCTACCTTCCAGCCACACAAACGTGTACCAGAGCCCCGACCAAACCTAAGGCTGGGCACGCATCTCATCAAACCGGCTTCCTCGGTCAAGCTGTTAGGAATCCACATCGACCAACAACTGAGATGGAAGGAACAGCGTGCGGCAATCTTAAGGAAGGGACAGGCATGGCTGTCAAAGGTCGGCCGTTTTGGTAAACCGACGAGGAGCATACGCCCAGCACAGATGAGACGGCTATACTTAGCAACCTGCCTACCGAGACTACTGTATGGCGCGGACATCTTCCTAAACCCGACAACACGGAAACACCGAGCCTCAAAAACGCGCAGTATCCTACCCCAGCTTCGAACGATCCAGCGGCGCGCAGCCATCCTCATCACCGGGGCCATGGCCACGACAGCGACAGACGCCCTAAATGCCCACGCCAATCTCCTCCCGATCGAGCACACCATCGACAAACACCGGCACCGGGCAGCCACAAGGCTAGCAACGCTCCCACGCACGCACCCCATACACAAAGCGCTAAAGGAAATACGCCGGACAAAGCCGAGGAAACACAAAGCGCCGCTGCAAGCGCTAATGGAGGAGTACGACATCAACCCGTTGGCGATGGAAAAGATAGCGGCTGTGCGATATGAGCCAGGATGGGAACCCATGACGACCACGGAGATACGAGGTTCGAAAGAGGCAGCCATAGAGGCGGAAAGGGAAGACGAAGCAGAGTGGAAGGCTTACACAGACGGCTCGGGCATTGGTGGACACATAGGTGCGGCGGCAATCTTATACCGGGCCGGCACTAAAGTGGCAACGACGAGGAAACACTTGGGCAGCGCGGCGCATCACACGGTATACAAAGGCGAGGGAATCGGGCTGAATCTAGCCGTCGGCCTACTGAGAGCGCAGCAAAACGTGGAGGGGAACGTATCCGTTTTTGTTGACAACACGGCGGCGATCATGGCCACACACAACACGACCTCAGCACCCTCGCATTACATATGGGACGCCCTACACGAGGCCCTCGAACAGCTACACGAAACACACCCGCGAGCCCGCGTCACCTTCAAGTGGGCTCCAGGCCATAAAGATATTCAGGGCAATGAGGCGGCAGACGAAGAAGCAAAGAAGGCGGCGGACCCAGGGACACAAAGCGACGGCGACGCATACTTATGCCGGCCCCTACGTGGCACGCTCCCACGCAGCAAATCAGCGACAATCCAGGACTTCCACGAAGGACTGAGGACCCGAACCCAGAATGAATGGGTCACCTCGCCTAGATACCCCCGCCTACGCGCGCTGCTACCCAAACCACTAGCAGGACTATGGCTAAAACACATCGCAGCCCTTCCCAAGACGCACGCATCCATCATGATTCGGTTACGCACGGGCCACCTGCCACTCGCGCGACACCTGCACACCATAAAACGCGCCGACTCACCAGTATGCCCTTGCTGCCACCGCGAAGACGAATCCGTACGCCACTACCTCCTGCACTGCCCAGCGCACGCCAACGCCGGGGGAACTTAATACGGCGCGCAGGCCGCCACGCCCAGGACCTCGAGAAACTTCTATCGCGACCTGACCTCACCCGCCACCTACTGCGTTTCGTCGCCCAAACCGGCCGATTCAGAGCGATATTCGGCGAAATAGAGGACCTCCCAGAACCGACCCCACAACGAAAGCGGCCGAATCCACGCCCGGCCCCAACCCGAACAAGGCGCACCACCCGGCAGGCAACCAGACGACAAGCGTGAACGAACAGGACTGTTTTCCTGTAATTATATATGTACAATACTAACCACACCATAGCATGGCCCCGGCCAGCAGCGCACAACCAGCTGCACCCATCGCGAGGTGGACAAAGCTTTGCGAAAGGAAACCGACACGAGTGGGACGCCCAATACGAAAAAGAATAATTAGTGTATAGAGAGTCCCTACCATATCTTTAGAGACAAAGGGGAATAAAAGAGGAAATTAATAATAATAATAAGTCGGTGTCTTCCAAGCTAACCCATTTGTGGCTCTGATGGCAAAGCAGATCTTGGTGTGATTGTGGCTGGGATCTTCATCTGGAAACTACACTCTCCGAACAGGTTTTATGCCGACCCTGCAGTCTCTCTTGGGATCAGTCTCATCATATTCGGGGGTGCTATCCCGATGAGTGAGCGAGCCTTTTGCTGAGCGTCTCTTCAACACTCGAATTAACTGCTGCTTCCAGCAATCAAAGCTGGCCGTATATTATTAGAGGCAGCCCCTGTAGAGCTCGACCTAGACAAAGTGCGAGAAGACTTGCTCGCCTCTCCCGCTGTCCTTGCCATCCACGACTTGCACGTGTGGATTCTCTCTCGCTCGTCGGTGCTTCCCTTCCAGCCCGATACATCCAGTCTTGACCGCATCTCAGCGTCATCCTTGCTTCGTTGCATGTTTGTGTGCCAGAAGGAACAACGATCGAGGACTGGGAGCGCACCGAACGCGGACTGCAGCACTGTTTCGCAGCATACGGGGTCAACCACGTCACGATTTCACCGGAGGTATTCAAACCCTCCGCGTCTCCGACCCAAATCAGCGACATCATCTGCAAATCCGCGTCTCAGTCGGAAGGCGGTACAGGTTGCACCGTCAAAGAATTGAGGCAGCGGGCACCGGCTGGCCATGCGTGACACAAAAGCGGCGGGATGTACATCTGGAGATTATATCTTAGATCAAAAACTGTATCCAACAATGTGTATCATCCAAATGTCTACTTTGAGGACAGTTCCACGGCGTTCTTGAAAACGCCCAGCAAAGCACTCAGCTGGATCTTCTCGCTAGCTCCCGTCGATAATCGATGTCTTGTCCTTGAGTCAGCTCTGGCCTTGACTAGAGAGAAGTTGCACGTACTCGATCGTGGCGATGTAGTCCAACAGATATATTCGTGCATGAGGTTTGAGCTCGAGACCCTCGATGTAGTCAAATGCACCAGTCAACAAATCTTGCAGCGCCAAACCGCGTTCGGTTTTCATTTTGTTGATCACTGAAGGTAGTCAAGCATGATGCAGGCCAGTTCGGAACAGGATGTACATTGGTATGAGGTGGTAAATTCGTCGGACAGCATCGAGTTGACGATGGTTTCGATGTCGGATGGATGAGGGTGCCCCGTACAATTGTATACTTCAGTCTCACTCGTGATATCGTAAGCGGCATGGCACGCCTGCAGGACATTCAGAGCACGTCGCATATCGCCCCGAGATAGCTTCAGCAGTGCTTTCTTCCCATCAGCAGTTAATCGAACTCTTGATTAGAAGGTCAGGTGTTCGGATGCTGAGAGAACGCTTAGTAGAGCACGCACTGCTCTCCTTCAATCACTGTGTCCAAACGTTTCTCCACTTCCTGGATGGGCAGAGGCGAGAATCGGAAGCGTGTGCATCGGCTCTGAATTGCCGGCGCTATCTTGTTCACGTAGTTGCAGATAATGCAGAAGCGAACGTTCTTGGTGTATTGCTCGATGACACGACGCAAGGCGGCTTGGGCTTGTTGCGTCATCATGTCCGCTTCGTCAAGGATGATGAGTTTGAAGCCTTTTGAGAACAGGGTGCGCGTTTCGGCGAATTGCTTGATTTGTTCGCGCACGACGTCGATGCCTCGGTCATCCGACGCGTTGAGCTATGTAGAAACGCGTTGAGGGAGGACCATGCGCGTTGCTGTGGACGCACCTCTAGAATTTGCTTCTTATAGTCCTTCCCGTATATGCGCCGCGCAACCGCAAGGATCGTCGACGTCTTTCCGGTTCCGGGAGGTCCATAGAAGAGTAGATGTGGCAAACGATTCTTTTGAATGAACTTATCAACTGGAAGATGGTCAACCTACGATACAGACAGCTGTGAAGCTGTTTACTGGTGGAAACGATATCCTTGTGAGATACAACGTCGTCCAGAGTAACAGGTCTGTATTTTTCGACCCTGCGACGCGTCAATTACCGCGCTGAAAGACCAGTCTTGACGCGTACCAGGGGAGTGTGTCCAAGTCCACCTCGGTTGCGGGTGGAGGGTCCGAAGCTTTGCCCTTTCCCTTCCCAGCGGAGGAGAAGGGTCCAATGTCCATCATCTCTGTATCTGAGTCCATGCTGAGCTATGTGAACACTTTGGAACGAAGCGCGTTTGGCCAGGTTTGGCTCAAGGAAGCGTGGGCCGGCGATCAAGATGAGTGGGTGTGACATCAGTGACTGGGTCGTGACCTCGCGTGAATCTCCAGCATATCACGTGGCTCTATGTAGTTTGCTCTGATTTGTAATCTGTTAACAGGTTGCTTTTGTCGACGACTCCACCGTTGATTCCGTTGGACAGACCGAAGCGTCCTTTACAAGATGCAGATCTTCGTCAAGACGTTCGTTTTGTCCAATCGCTACCCTTGCCTTTTCCTGATCTTTCTTACAGCCTAACGGGCAAAACGATCACCCTCGAGGTTGAATCCTCGGACACTATCGACAATGTCAAGGCCAAAATCCAAGACAAGGAGGGGTGCGTTGTCGGCAGCTCCCCGATGTAATGCAGTAGACCAACTTCATCGTCAGCATTCCCCCCGACCAGCAGCGCTTGATCTTCGCCGGCAAGCAGCTCGAGGACGGCCGCACCCTCAGCGACTACAACATCCAGAAGGAGTCGACTCTTCACTTGGTGCTCCGTCTGCGTGGTGGTGCCAAGAAGAGGAAAAAGAAGACCTACAGCGTCCGTCTTACTTTCCTTGCCCATCCTTTTCTGCATCCTTAGAACTTTTTTCAGACCCCCAAGAAGATCAAGCACAAGAGGAAAAAGGTCAAGATGTCCATCCTCAAGTACTACAAGGTCGACTCCGACGGCAAGATCAAGCGTCTCCGTCGTGAGTGCCCGACCGCTGAGTGCGGTGCTGGTATCTTCGTCAGTATTTGGATCTTCTGGTATCGAACATCATGCTCATATGTCTTAGATGGCCTTCCACAAGGACCGCCAGTACTGCGGCAAGTGTGGGCTGACGTACACGTTCGCCGCTGGCAGCAAGCCCCCTACTGTCTAAGCCGTCGTTTCAATACTCGTCGTACTATGTGTTGTATTGATCCTCATATGTGTATGCCATGTCCGTCACCATGACTTTACTTTGGGAGCCTGCTACCAGTCGAAGATAATTTCTGACAACCTGACTACTTGTGCGATGTACGACCAGAAAATAACGTGTTCCCGCGGTGGACGTAGGATGCGAAGCTCAGTCTGGAAGACATCTCGTCGATCGTCCTGTACCATTTGAGAGATCAATGGCCCGATGGGAGAAAGTAGCACACGAACCGATTCCTCATCTCTGCTGCCCATGTAATCTCTTTGAGCTTCGGAGCGTTCAATGAGGCCCCCACCGTGCCCAGTATCAACGCGAAGAATGCTTCCAGCACAATCTGAAATGTTCAGTGTTAGTGTTCGCGCTTGTGTCAGTTCAGTACGAACGTCGAAGGGTAGCGAGCCTTCCGGTCGTCCGATGGCTTTCAAATGGGATAGATCTGCAGAGACATGAGATCTCCAGTCATGTGGGGGAGACAGCTCGTACGCTCATAGGTAGAGAACGCCGCTGAACAAACTCAGTTCCTATTTTGTGTTGCCCTGCCTGACAGACTGACCATGCAGTATTGCAACCGTAGAAACCAGCAACAGAGCGGTAGCAAGCATGAGTGGGATTATGAACGCGTCGCAGTCGGCCAGGGGATTTGTGCAGCGAGAGAGTGGAGAAGAGTACTCTATCACAGTGCCAGTAACGTACAGCGCGAAGCAAGGAGACCGGAAGCACGTGTCGTCATCAATCAGTCACTCGCTCACTATTTGTCTTGGTGCCTCTCTACTACACGTCGACCATGGCGTTCCCTATCCCTTCTCATCTCCCGCGACGACCGAATCCGCACGATGTCTCTTCCGAAATCCTCTCCAAAATTGATCAAGCGACGAACCACACTCTGACGACATCCCTCGCAAGCTCGTGGGTTACGGAGCTGGAGGACACCATTGGGGCAACTAAAGTGATCATCATTGGGGGTCTCTGGCAACAGAGCCGTGCTATTAACACTTTCTCTAGGCTCAGATCAAGGACCGAATACATCGAGACCTTCCGGAATTCGAGCGCCAGCTCGAGAGTTCCAAGTCTGTTCAGACGCGTCTACAGTCCTTGGCGAGCAACGTGGACCGGCTAGACCATACATTGTCGGATTCTGAGGTGTGAACCCGTAGCCCTTGACTCAGTCACTCTTGGGGATCACTAACTCTATGTATAAGACAGGTCTCATCCCGAAGCTCATCCGGACTCTGACCGCGCACGCTACTCTGGCTCAGCAATCCGTCGACGCTACACATAGGCACCAGACAGTCGCCTTCCTATTACGCGCCCATGGCGAGTTCGGCTCTCTGCTCTCACTCGTGCAGCTAGGCAAGCTCCCGCAGGCCATCGGTGCATGCGGCGAGTTTGAACGTCTGCTGCAGGCTGCGCCGGCTCATTCCAATGAAATGGCTGTCATGGCGGATCTCAAAGTACGTTGAAACTATGCGGTCCCGAATCCTATCTAAAAACACGTGTCCAGAGGAGATTTCACGCCGCGAAGTCGCGCACGGAAGAACAGCTGAGCGAGGCATATACACGAAGCGTGTCTTCTGCCCCCAAGTGTCTGAAGATACAGTCATCCGTGCTAGGTACGTTACTTGTGTTGACACCTCTCTTTAATATCAACGGGCTGCAGTGCGACAGTCGGAAACGCGCATCACTTTACCAGAAATTCTGCTCACATCGGCGGAGACTGGCTCCCTTTTAGGCCACTTGACGACACTGAAAAGAGATGTGATGGCTCACTACGTCGACTTTGTCGCACGCCAGCCCTCCAATGTTGAGGTGTCAAGCGACGCGATGGAAAGCAGACTGACTATATTTCCTGCTCCGCTGGAGCCCGACAATCTCGGCACACGCCTGGAAAATCTCTCTACTGTGTTAACGTTCTTGTCTTCCCACTTGATGGCATT